TGATCCAAAACCTCGACTCAGAGCTGGCGCGACGTGCAAACCGTGCCAAAGCTGAACGCATCAAGATATGGGCTGACGGCGTCCGCGAGCCAAGCGGGCGAAAGGCGGCCATATACGCACGGGCTGCTGACAGCTCGCCCACGGCGTATCTCCGCACGCCTACCACTCCCGACGATACACAACTCCACTGCGACACCAACGCCTTCAAACCTGACAAAGCTAGCACGGACGATAGTGACGCCGACACCGAAGCTGGCGGCTTCAGCCCCAGCGACGGTAGTTCGCCCGATACGGACAACGACGAAGACCACACTTGTGAACCACCACCTGCACAGGTCCCCGACATTCTCCCTGCCAACGCCATTGTTGCTAACACCAAAGACATGCTTAAGCTCATGGTCGACACCTGGGAGCCCATCTTGGGCAGGTACCGCGCCCGTGCGGGGCATGACGCCGAAGCCATGCCGACGTGGGCTGACTTCTACGACGAGTACCGACAAGAGCTGCCTACGCCATCACCAGCGACCCCTTTCCACCTCACCGACGACCAACTCATCCACTTTATTCGCACCCGTTCACCGTGCCGTGCGGGGGGACTTGACGGCTGGACAACTAAGGAGGCTAAGGAGTTACCCGACGACATCCTTCGCCTCTTCGCCAGCGTCTTACGCGCTATGCAACGCACTGGCACCATCCCAGAACCCCTCCTTCATGTGCCAAACCCGTGCCTCCGAAAAGGCCGAGGCGAACTCCCAACGGACCAACGACTTCTCTCGGTGCTTTCCGTTTGGATGTATGCGTGGGAAGCGCCAGCTTACCGCAGCCTCACGGACTGGCGGAAAGGATGGACCCACGCCACGAGCTTTGGCGCTGTTCCCAAAGCTACCATTGGGGACGTCAGCACCTCTCTCGCCCTGCGCATCGAGCACGCCAGGGCTTTACTCCTGCCCTTAGCTGGGGCTGCCCTTGACCGACAGAAGTGTTTCGACTACCTCATCACGGACATCTGCCTTAACCTTGCGCTTCACGCGGGGTGCCCCCAAGACATCGTCACTGTCCGCAGAAACTTCTACAGTCGCCACAAACGCTACATCCGCATGAACGGAGCGTACTCTAAGGAATTGGTCAGGACCAACGGTCACCTCCAGGGAAGCTCATGGTCCCTGGACGACATCAAGCTGCTCATGTGTGTGTGGACAAAGAGACAGCATCGATACGTTCCTCGATCACTCAGCACTACCTTTGTTGACGACAGCAACTCCACTACCCACACCGCGTCTGAGTTGCAGAAATCTCTTGACGAAACCGCCAAGTTTGATCGATTCTCAGGTCAACGCATTCACCCTGGCAAAGTGGCGGGGTGGGCGCTCACCGACGAGCTTCACGCCGCCGTTACCCAGCTCACTCTGGCGGAACGGCCCTTACGCGTGGTCGACTCCTTCAAGCTCGTCGGGAGTTACATCAACGCCGAGGCAGCGCCGGCTCCAGCCGCGCTTAACCTCACGGCCACCGCTGACGCCCGTGTACGGAGGGCGACTAGTCGCCTGCCGCGCATTGGCAAGCTCCCATCGCCGATGCTTATCAAGGCGCGGCACGCCCGTTCCCTTGCTGCCAGCGTCTGTACCACGGGCACCGACATTCAAGCCCCATCAGGCCCCGCCAAAACTGCCTACAACCACGCCCTCAAGGCGGCTATCCGCCCCAAGGGGAACAAGTGGGTCGAGTTTTGGACTCTCATGGCCGTGTGCGTCCCAGGACACGCCCTGGAGATTGACGCCATCACGCAGCGTGAAGCTTTCCTGTGCCTGCGGCGACAGGTTAACCGCGACGTTACACTCTGCGGTCTCGTCAGGGATCTCCAACACCACGTCCAGACCCTGTTTGGTGGAGGACCTGTCGGACGACTCGTCCAGTCGCTCCAGCAGCTCCGTTGGACCTGGCCCACATTTGGCATCATGTACGACGACTGGGGCTGCCAGATCAGCTGGCTGAACTTACCCCAAAACGCCTTCCTTCACATGCTGCGGGCCTCACAACGCAGAGCCTTTCTGAGGAGGATCAAGCCACGGCGTCACGACCTTGGATACCTTGCCTCTGTCAGACAGGGCCTCGACCTCTTCGCCAGCACGTGGCTCGCCCGAACGAAAGGAGCAGCCAAATGCACTGCCTGGCAGCTGGCGCTCCTCCTGAACTACCTGTCGGGCGGGGACCACACCCAACAGCGACGATCCCGATCAAACACGTCAGCTGACCCCAGCCCCATCTGCCGATACTGCGACGAGGAAGAGGAAACTCAGGAGCACACTGTCCGCGACTGCAAGTGCTGGGCCCGAGAAAGACTCCCTCTCACCACCCTCATCAGTGACGAGCAGTGGGCCCGTCTTCCGCCGCACACAAGACACTGCGGGCTCTTCGATGAAGACCCAGCCCTCCTCGACCTGCAGGCCGACCTCGCGAGGGACCCGCTACCTCAGCCCATGCCGCGGCCCCCCCCCTGAGGGAGATCCTGCGGCTTCAGCCCAGGACTCCTACACTACCTACCTTGACCACGACACTGGTTGGACATGGGTCTACGCTGCCACGGACGGTGCATGCACCAACCAAGCCATCCCATTGCTAGCACGAGCGGGCTACGGCGTCTACTACGGCATCGACCACCGCATGAACTACAGTGCACGCGTTCACGGCATTACGCAGAACGCACAGCTTGCGGAGACCCTCGCCATTGTCCACCTCACGGCATGTGCTGAACGGCCCGTACACGTTTTCGTGGACAACCAGGCGGTGGTCGATGGGTTTCAAAGTATCATCGACGGACACTCAGCACCGCAGGGCACGCACGTGGAGCTCTGGGGAAAGATCCACCGATGCGTTATGGCCAAGCCCAACATGTTCCGCGTCGAGAAAATCGCAAGCCACCTGGGAGACATGGGCATCGACCTCGGGCTCATCGGGCCCATTGCGGAGGAGTTCAATCGTCAGGCTGACGCCCTCGCCACAACGGCGGCGCGCACTCACAACCTTCCAGACGACATTGTCGAAGCTGCCAAAACACGACATCGCCAAGCGACCGTGCCTCATGGGGTCGCTGTCGCCATCTACGAGCGTAGACACCGCACACTCCCGCTCCCACACCGCAGGGATGGGTTTACAGCTGCGGAACTCAACAAAATGGAACCAACCCCCCTGCTGTCGGACCAGGCACCACTCGCGGCTGGACCAGACATCCCACAGAACCCGGACGAGCTCTGGGCCGAGGCCCAACGGGCGATATTCGACGAACAGGAGGACGACCCGTGCGGCTTCGGCGGGGGACTGGACTTCCTAGGCGACGGGCCAGCCAGCGCCAACCTTGCCCCGTCGGGCATCCGCACGTCGCCCTCGACTCCGCCACCGAGAGCGGCATCGCACCCACATGACAACGCCGCTCACCTCCAAGACGCTGACGAACAGGAGGACGACCCGTTCAGCTTCGGTGGGGGATCTGACGTTTTGGACGACGGCCCAGTCAGCGAAAACCCTGCCCCGTCGGGCAACCTCTCGACGCCTACCGCGACTCCGTCTCCGAGAGCGACATCGCCCCCATATGACGTTATCGGTCACCGCCAAGACGCCGACGACGACCTGGGTGACCCCCGCGGACTGAGTGGCATAGACGACGCACCGCCGACACCCCATGCTGCCGACCTTGCCGCCCTACCGAGACGCCACCCTACTACGCGGCTGACCTCAGAGCCCTCGCACGGCATCATGATTGGTCCCACCGCACAAACCACCCCGCCCCCCCACCAGCGGCAGCCCGCGGGGGCGGCTTCAGCCCCCCCGCAGGGCACTGAACCAGACAGGCCCTCGCACCCCGTTCACGCTTCCATTGTGGCTGAGCGAGAGGATGCGGCTCTCCCGACCTCTCGGGGCGTTGCCCTAGCGGCTCCAGCCCTGGGGCCGCGCGTTCCCCGCCAGCCACCTTCTAAGGGTGACGGACGACAGCATACAGGGTGCCGTACTACGCGTCCACCATCTGGATAGGCGCACCGAGGACCTCGCCCCTGTCACGCGGCCCGCGGCCGCTGGCACTGAGCAGCCACCCCTCACCGACCGCGAAACCGAGCTGTCCCAGGCTATGGCCGCTCTCCAGCAGAGGTGCGTTGCTCTCGCCGCGGACCTCGCCGCCGCCCAAGCTCGCCAAGGCCCTCTACTCCAGCGCCTCCACAGCGCCGGGCGAGCCTTCGCCGAGCTGCTTACGCCCTCGCCCGATGGTGCCGTGCCGTCACTCACCATCCAAGCTATGCTGTCATCGTTCCGCGGCGCTCCACCTGGTGCCCCGCGCTAATCTCCTCCTTTCTGCCTGCCCGTGAGTACGCGTGGCTCCGCGTCCACGGTGTCAGGGCGTGGGGGCGGGGGGTGCCCCGTCACTGCGCGCCGCTTTGCGGCCAAGCGCCCAACTGGCGGTCTGCCAAGCCGCCTAGCCACGTGTCAGCACGTCGCCTTTCTTGTTGGGGCCTCTTTCTTCACGCGGTCTGACAGGTGAGATCATCACCGTCTGTCCGCCGTCTGTTGCGTCTGTCGCACTGCGCCGGGGGAGGGTTTTTTTTGTTGCCCGCCCTCGTATCTAAAGGCTGCACCGCCGCAAATAGTGTTCAGCGAGTTGTCGCACCGCAGTGCGCCTCGCGGACGGACCCTGGTCCGCCTACTTGTCCGCTCTCTCTCTCTCTCTCTCTCTCTCTCTCCTCTCTCTCTCTCTCTCTCTCTCTCTCTCTCTCTCTCTCTCTCTCTCTCTCTCTCTCTTCTCTCTCTCTCTCTCTCTCTCTCTCTCTTCCCTCTCTCTCTCTCTCCTCTCTCTCTCTCTCTCTCTCCTCTCTCTCTCTCTCTCTCTCTCTCTCTCTCTCTCTCTCTCTCTCTCTCTCTCTCCTCTCCTCTCCCTCTCCCCGTTCCGGAGGCAGCCCAATTAGTTACACCTGTCGTAAGAATCGCCCTGGCCCGGCGCTCAGCCGAAGCCCCCCTCAGTCGCTGTCGCCCCCGAGGATCGCCGCCGCCACGTTCGCCAGCGGCGCCTCCTCCGGCGCCGCGGCGCCGCCGCCAGGGGCCCCCGGCGCGGCGGCCTGGGCTCCGTTGGCGGCCGCGGCCCCATCGCCCGCCAAGCGGATCTGCGTCAGCAGCACACCCCTCTTGCGGCCTTTCTTGTTCCCCCCCAGCATCTCCACAGTTGCCGTCAGCTCCGAGGTCAGCGACGGCGGCGAGATCCTCGTGACCTCAGCCTTGCAATTCTCCCAATCCTCTTTTTTCTTCATCACGGTGAGGTAGAAGATGTCGCCGACCTGGAGCGGCGGACTCCTGGCCTTCTTCGGGTCTGGCGCGCCTGCCGCCGCGCCGTCGGCGGGGCGCTTCCCCGCCTTGCTCTCGTCCTTCCTCTGCTGACCCGCGTCCTCGGTCGCCTTGGCCGCGTCCTTCGCAGCCTTGGCCGCCTGCTCCGCGTGCTCCTTCAAGGCCCGCAGCAAGGGGCCCAACGACGTGCTCTCCTTGGCCAAAATCGCCTTGTTCGCTTGCCCGATGCACTCCCACATGTCAGCCCACTCTTTAAGCTGCTCCTCCGTGCCGTTCAAGGGATCTGGGAGCGCCGCCACGTTGGCGTTGCCCTGGAGGTGCAGCCGCGCAGCGCACAGCGCGCGCTAAAGCGTCTTGGCGACCAAACCCGTCTGGCCAGATGAGCCTGTAGCCGCGCTGGCGCGCCCAGACAAGTTCTTCATCGTCATCAACACTGCCCGCGTGGTCGGGTTTGCCACGAGCTTCAGCAGCTCCTCCCTCTCGTAAACGCGAGGTGCAAACTCAATGAAGAAGTCGAGGTCCATGTCCTTCACGCCGCTCTTGGCGCCGCTCACCACCTTGTGCATATGGTCGAAATACTCGTGCTTGGGCCACCAGGGGCGAAGCGTCTCCCAGCGCTCGGGCTCAGCGACCAAGTACGCCACTTTCTCCTCCTCTGGCATGGTCCCGCCCATGGCGCGCGCCAAAGAGACCTCCTGCATCTGGCTCTTCGTCCCGATGCGCTCCGCGTTCTTCACGAGTTCCCCAGCCTGCTCGCGGGCCGCGGCGGGGCCCACGCCGTGGGCGCACCTCGTCTTCAGGACATCGATCTGCATGGCCAGCTGCTTGCGCTGGAGATCGGCCACGAGCGGGCTGGAGAGGAACTTCCGCTGCTCCTTGAAATCCAACTGGGCCCCGAGAGCGATCTGGGTCTGCACGGGCGTCGCGTGCAGCTCGATAATGGCGCTGCCGAGAGGCTGCCAGCTCGCCACGGGCGCCGCGTTCCCCTGCCAGCTGACCCACCGCTCGATCACGGCAGCGAAGGGCGCCAGGTCGTCGTAACACGGCGCGCCCCGCAACGTCTTCAGGATGAACGTCTGCGCGCTCACGTCGCGCGGCGCAGGCGGGGGGGTCTTCTTCACCAAATCAGCGGCGAAGCGCTCCGCCCAAAACTGCACGGAACCAGTGTCGTTCAAGTGCGCCTTCGCAATCCTCTGCTGCTCCGCGCGCGCCTTCAAATGCCCGCAGAGCTTCTTCATGGTCACCGCGACGTCCTCATCCCCAGAGTCATTCGCCGCGTCCGCCTCGGAGGCGCGGGGCGAGCCTCCGCCCTCGGTCCGGGGCGAGCCTCCGCCCTCGGTCCGGGGCTCCGCCTGCGGGGGCGAGCCCCCGCCTCCACCAGCGGGGGCGGGGCTTGGCGCGTCCGCGCCGGGGCTGCGGTCTGAGAGGGACGGAGGCGCGCCCGAGCCCCCCTGGTCATCCAGGGTCAGCGTCCGGACGGCAGCAGCCTCGCAATTAATGTGCCACGCGTCGCCTCCCAACCAATCTGGGTCGCACTTCCACTGGGCAACCCAGACGGCGTCCGGGTCAACGCCCGACGGCAAGTCTGGGACGTCCCGCGGGTTCACCAAGTACTGGAAGGCCCTGGGGTCAGGATGTTTGCACGCGGCTTCGTACTGCATGTGGTACTTCTTACCCACAGCGGCCTTGCGTTGCACAGTGGACTGCTGGCTCCTCAGAAGGTTCGCAGTGATGCGAGATTCCTTCGGCAGGACTGCACGGAGCGCACGCCAGGTGACGACGGTGTCCTCCGTGAACGTGAAGTCCGGATCGGCAGCCTTCATCACGTTTAAAGCCCGGCGCGCCTTGCGACGGGTGTCCGCGGTGATCGGGGCCAGCTTCGCCTGCTCCACCTGCGCTGGATCAACAGCGCTCATGTCGCCACCCGCGTTCCCCTTCAAGCTAGCAGCGCTACTGAGTGAGCGGCGGGCGTTGCTCCAATCGACCCCTGGAGTCTTTGAGCCAACACGCTGCGCACCACCATCAACACCGACATCATCATCATCATCATCATCACCATCAACAACAACGGGTGGGGGCGGCCATGGTTTTTTGGTTCGACGATCCCCTCCCTCCTCCGCCCTCCGCCCTCCGTCCTCCGTCGTGATCGTCCCTCTCCTCCTCTCCCTCCTCCCCCTCCCCCTCCTCCTCCCCCTCCTCTTCCGCCCCCTTTCCCAGACATCAGACAGCCCTAAAAAAAAACCAATGCCGCCCAGAACGTCATGGTTTTTAACCAAGACAAAGCAGAAAAACCAAGACATTGCAAAAAAAACCGAGACAGTTGTAGTTCTGGTGATATAGCGTGTATGTTGTCGTTGGTTCGTTGTGAAGATGTTGTGTGTATGTAGACAGCTTTTCTATTATATGTAAGCGTCCAACAACAGACTGTTGTTGCAACCGCGTGCGTTGTGAGCTAGGAGCTGCGTCGTTGGGCGTTGGTAGTAACGCCTCTGCGTCTCAAGGGTACCGGAGCACAGGCGGAAGCCTAGAGGATAGTTTGGCGAGTCAGGGCTGGGGGGCAGTGCGGACAGAGAATCCACCAGATACGTAAACATGCGGGATGACGATGATTGTTTAAGCAAGGCAAACAGTTCTGGATCATCGTAAAAATGCACGCGCGTACGCGACATATGCGTTGCAACAACAACGCAATCTCTTCTCATCCTGGGATGGAAGCTTCGCCCCGAAGGGCGGTGCCCCGAAGGGCGACCGCATGTAGAAAAATATGGGCCAGGAGCGACGAGTCTTATTGTTCCTGGCTCTCGTTCCCTCTCTCTCGCTCTTTCTTCTCTCTCTCTCTCTCTCTCTCTCTCTCTCTCTCTCTCTCTCTCTCTCTCTCTCTCTCTCTCTCTCTCTCTCTCTCTCTCTCTCTCTCTCTCTCTCTCTCTCTCTCTCTCTCTCTTCTGTTTCTCTCTCTCTCTCTCTCTCTCTCTCTCTCTCTCTCTCTTTCTCTTCAGTTTTGCACTGTAGCACGCAAGTGTGCAGGGCGCCGCTCTCGGACGGGAACGCGCAGGGGCACCGTTCTCGGAAATGTCAAAGGCCTGCAGCCGGCGCCGCCAGGGGCCCGAGGCCTGAGAAGAAACGCGACCCAAATCAGCAGGGCGGTGAAACAGCCCACGGTGGTGAAACATAAGGGTGGTGGAACACATATCATATTTGTATATATACACATGAATACAACTGTATGCGCACGTATATGTTAAATGTATGGCAGTGTGTTTGTGTTCATGTATGTGTTGGCGTTGTTATTTACGGTGCTACATTATTATCACACGGTTCCCTATCCATTTTCCAATTATCCTTGCAATCGTTGCCAGGGAAACACCTGCAAAGCGGAAGTCGAGCAGAAGGGTTGGCGGCGGTGGTCTTCCCCGCCACCGAAAACACACAATAACGCAATCTGTGTCCACCTCTATTCGCCAAGTATGTTCGGATCCTTCTCCGTAGTCATCGGGAAATTCGACATGGAATTGTCGAATGCGGTGCCGTGCACGCAACAAAACAAACAACGCAATTTCTATTCATCACCTCCCCTACTTGTCCTCCTTCTGCCTTGAATTCCTCCCTTTTCCCTCCCTGATTTTCGCAATATCACCCTCAGGAAGGATGGAAATGCATAACGCGCGGTGGCGACGCTGCAAGTATTCCCAGACATTGAGCGTCTCGAAAAAAAACAAACAGAGGTGTTACATAGTTGTTGGCCTCTCGGGGCCCTCGCTGGGCGTCGGGACCGTCAAAAAACCACTCGGGATGAAAAACTAATCCCAGGGAAGTGGTCGGGAGGTCGGGGGCCCGCGTCTCGAAAAAATTGAGACGTCGGATGTCTGGGTTTCCAATGTGCTCACCGCGCGCGCGGTGATGCAGCCACGTGGGCTGCATGCGCGCCGGACGCAAAACAACAATCACGCAATCTCTGCTCCTCTTCGGAACGTTAAGTTGGCTAGAGAAAGCAGCAGCAGACTGGAAAAAACAGGCGCCCGTTCCGGCGGGGCCAGCCGACAACGCAATCTCTTATCATTACCCCGTCTGAATACTATGCCCCTGCCCCTTTCCCCCAGGGGACCAAAACAGCGACCACGCATGGAAATTGTTGATGATTGATGAAATCGTTCAAGCGCACCGCAGTGGCGATCCCAGCAATCTCTGCCAGGGCAGCAACAACACAATAGTTGCGAGTGAAACGCTGTGAAACGGTACATAAAGTGCTCTCCACGGAGTCCGTGAGCCCGCGATGGGCGCCGCCTGGGCCAGGAGGCCATAGGCCCCCTGTGCCCTCCACACATCAGGCGTCTCGATCTTTCGAATTGTTATTTGACGGTCCCGAGGGCCTGCACGTGAAATCCCACACCAACAAAAATCAGACAATCATGAAATATTGTCGTCTCGATTTTTTCGAGACACCCGATGTGTGGGTACGAGCAACAAACAACGCAATGTATTCTCATCCAATTTCCCCTCACAGTCCTTCACTCCTTTCTCCGCTACACACCCTCACCCCTTCTAAACTCGGATTGGGCGATGGGCTTCAACCGTTCACCGTTGCGCAGCAGCCTGCGCCTGCGTTGCAGCCACTTCGGTGCCAGAGCAGCGAACAACGCAATGTCTTCTCATCTATTGTCCCCCGCTTCCCTCCTCCTCTCCCACATTCCCGCTTCCCTCCCCCTCCCTCCTCCCTCCTCCTCCTCTTCTCATCTAACTCGTAGAAGCAACAAGTAAAATCGATGGCCACGCAGCGCAGCTGCCTCACCGCAGGGGCCGCCTGGAAGCCGCTTGGGCACTCCAGACCGACAGAGCAAAAACAAAGAACAACGCAATCTCGTCTCCCATCTTTTTTCTCATCCGTAGAAAATCTGCAGCGCTCAGAATTCGCTCATGCTGGCCTCGAGCACCTGGCTGCCCCGCAGCCGGCGCCCGACGAACAACAAATCAACGCAATCTCCGCTCATCCATTGCGGGCTGCATTTACCCCCCCCTGCCCCCAGGAATGCGAACAACAGCGCAATGTCTTCTCACCGCCAGGAAATACCATGCCAGGGCAATGCTCACGTCGCAAATGGCACGCGCGCCCCTCGAGGGTGGCCAGCAGCAGCCAACCCGTCGACCATCCAGGTCGCGGGGGTGGAAGAGGTGGCGGGGTGGGTGGGAGAGGTGGATCGAATGGGGGTGCTGGAGGGGACGAGGTAGAGGAGGAGTCGGCAAAACAAGCAATCTCTTCTGACAAGCAGCGCAATCTCTTATTCAACTGTTTTTTTTTTTGTGTTGGTGTTGTGTTTCGTTTTGCACATAAGCATTGTTGTTTGTTTGATGTGCTTCTGTATTGCACATATCGTCATTAGTTTGTGTGTGTTGTGATTCGATAAGTGCGTTTGGCAGTCAAGTAGCCCCGCTGTTGTTGCAAACCCCTTTCCTTGTTGAGCACATGCGGTGCACAGTAATTTTCTTTTGTCACGAACAGGAGGTGACGCGCCAAGGGAACAGATTTGAAGAGCCCGCACGCGACGCAAACATTACACGCGCACACGTGCTCAAGATCTTCCCCACCAGAGGCGCGTTGCGATCAGCGCGCCTCGGGCAAGATCTTTTGCAACAGTGTAACGTAGAATGTTGGTCCCGCGTGCACGCTTTTCGCAGCTGTCCCCATGACTCGGTTCTCCTGCTCGTCCGCATATGTCCAATAAAAAAGGGGGTCGCCCTGGGTACTTGCTCTTTTGGCAAGGTCCCAGGCCACGTGAAACTTATACGTTTCGTGGCCGCCCCACGCCTTCCACTCGCGCAGAGCTGTCACGATGTGGTTCTGGAGCTGTGAGAGAGCAACTGGCGGCATTATGCGGGGCGACCGTTTCATGGCGACTTCCATATCCACGAGCGCCGAAACTACGCGGCGAAGGTGCCGATGGCCTGCGCCGAGAAAGCGCCAATTCTCACCCGCTAAAATCCGAATGAAAGGCATCAGTCTCCGCGTTTGTGCAGCTTTCGCCTTCAGGCGGGGGCGCGCGCCGCCAGCATTTAGCTGGTTGTACTTTAAACGGTTGATTATTGAATGCTTGCCGCGCGGCATACGGCGCATTCTATAATGCGCCTTGAGGCGCCTGCGCAAATGAACCATGTTATCGACCCGCCGCCGCTCCACAGTGGGTGATGGGGGCCCCCAAGCACGCCTTTTGACGATAATGGGAATGGAGATCGAGGGCAGCACGTCGGATGAGGAGCAATGACCAGAGGATCTCAGAAGTGAGAGGAGCAGGTAGGTTGCGAACTCGGCATGCGTGCGGGCCCCCGTTCTTCAGCAGATTGCGCAAAATTTGCGTCAATTAGTTTCAGCATGACCTCGCCAGCAACATATTGGCTGATGCCGAGGTCGAGAACGCGCATACAATCGAGGTGAAGACAATCGACACTAAACCCTCTGATGGTGAACAGCGGGCTCCAGAATTTAATGTTGGAAGTGTTTGCAGCGTTGACAAAACGTGAGCCAGCCTGGCATATCCACGCCAATGGACCCACCTGTGCCCACGAGGGCGTGCCAATCAAGTAGGTTTTCGTCGCAAATGACGATCCACCCCACGGGCAAATGAAGTTCTGGAAACGGCCTTACCAGCGCAAACCCACCATATTTGCGCGAAAGCTCCATGCACCTTAGAAGCCTGCGCGGCTGGGCACGACTTTGCACGTACCTTTTGGTCACGCACGCCCCGAGGTCATCATTAAAATCGCTACGCTGGCGGGGGCGCCAAGGGCAGAGGGCCAACGTGCGGGCAAAATTAAACATATCAGCGCGGGATGCGTTGCAACAAAAACATGGGCGCTGAACGTGCGTCCAATTTGTAAAACCGAAACAAGAAACATATTCTAACAAGTCTGCGCGATACTCCACGAG